CTGTGGGAAAACTTTTGAGGGTTTAGTGGGAAAAATAAAGTTCAGGGAGGTTACATGGAAAGATTTTCTGAAACTCTTTAATGTAAACACCCAAAGTTTTGGGGGGTTTTATGGAACTCTTTAATGTATATAATGCAAAGTGCAAACAGAGACATAGTGACTTGTATTTAAAACTTATTTGAAGTAAAAGTGTAAATATAAACTTTTGTGTGGCTGAGTATTTCAAACCCACATGTTTACAAGATACAGGCATAAAAGGAGAAAGTGTAGAAGGACCAACCAGCAGTCTCCCAGCATTCCAAGGACAGCTCCAAGTTGTGAACATAACTCTGGTGTGTCGCCTGACATCTTTAATTGCTCACGTATATCCTCTGCACAAAGACCAAGCCTTGATTTTGCACTCTCTATGTTCTTTGCACGGAAAGCCTGCAGATTAAACAAGAAGCCTTGATGTTTCAAATTTAATGTTGTCAAGGAAAGTTCTAAGGAATTAGTTCGCACACAGATAACAAGTGGTTGCTACTAGTAAGGAAGTTGACGAAGCTCATAAATATATTTTCTGAAAACCAGGTGCAAATTTAGCCAAATAGTTTTACCTACAGAAACTCACCCTCATAGCTTGCTGAACAAGAAATGCTCCCCTCTCCATAGAGACATCCCCATATATCACATTTTTATCGTCCTCTCTTAATTCATTGTCTTCTATATTCACTTGAGGCCTTTTGATCCTAGCATGTCCATCAATGAAACGGTCCACAGTAACTTGAAGCTCTGTGTCAAGCTCGATCTTCTCTATGTCAGCACCACATAGTGGACAATCCCTAAAGCGTGATATACATGCTCTGCAAAACAATTGAGAAATGATGTGAACCATAAACTAAAAGCCTGGATAAGATGTGGAGAGTTTAATTAAACAACCACTCTTGTTCAGAATACCCACTTGCAAAACTTATGGGAGCAAGGCAAACATTTGCTACTTTCATACAGCAAGGCTTGGCATATCATGCAACTTAGAGGACCCAACTTGAATGTATGAGAATCATATCCAAAAGGGCATTTTGGAGATACTATGCCAGAATCATTGCTCTGCTTATCTACTTTATCTTCCTCTCCTGCTTTATGTCTATCGCAGTTTTGGTCAAACTTCATCGGACATCCTCCTTCCCCAGAAGCCGTTTTAGCAAATGGACAGGCTGAAGTCATAATGCTCATTCACTGCATTAATATAAATATAACGTGTGACTGCAAATTTCAAGATGATGGAAATGTAGAAAGATGACAATACTCTCAAAGCTAATAAAAGAACATAAAGAATGTGTATATAATCCTTGAACAGAAAATCAATCAAAATAGAAAAACTTCAAATATAAGTGCATAATAAACCATGCATTACATCGTGTCTAGGCTAGTTTTTGCACCAGAATTTTCATATTCTGCATAATGATGTGTCTTAATACAGATGGCATTTATTTAATTTCATAATTATAGTATGTAGAGAAAAATTCTGACAAGGTATTAATCACTTTGCAAATCATGAGATCTACTTGCATGGTGCTGAAAAGGCACTTATTCTTATAGATGAGATCAATAAATACTTTATACAAAATGCAAAATTTGTTTACACCCCCATTGTCCACCCCCATTGTCCTTATGGTGGCAAACCTAATTACGAAAATAATACGAAGTGCTTCAGAATACTCCCCTATTAGGGCCAGAGCTTAGCTGATTTAGCTTACTTTTTTTATGGGAGATAAACTCTCATCTTGTTCCCACCCCTGATATCGTAATTATTGCTCCTTGATTCTTCTATCCAACAAGACCTTGTTGTTTTAGACTAATGTTTGGATTAAGGACTTGTTTTATTCCGGGACTAATTAAACTCACTAATCTTGGGATAAAATAATCCAGGAGACTATAGTGAGTTAAATTTTTTAACAATTTGTTTGGTTGAATTTGTTATTAGCCCTTCTAATACCTATGTCATGTTGAGGAACCTGTCATCATAAAGGGGTATATGATTAGGACATAACAGTAAATCTCTACTTGCCCTTCTGCCTATCACTGGTTGGAACAAACTTGGCACAGTTCTAGGATATTTTTGATATTTTTTATAACAAAGACCATGAAAGCTTTGCCTCAGCAACTGAGGCAACTTGGATAAAGAATATCAGGGGAAATTTTAAAAACATTTCATCTTGCATAATATTGTCTAATGTATGATAACTTAGTTTCGATATGGGTTCGGATGCTCAAATATTTATATTAGGTTTTGATAGTTTTTGATACAGCAAGCATATGCGCGTCACTTGCATGCATTTCCCATTTCTATTTTGTAAGTGTATACCACAGAAAACCTTTAACTCCATCCATGTTGTAATCACATCAGAGGATCGCTTTTCTTCAACATTAATTATAGTTTTTCCTTTTTAATGCATTCGTTCGGAGTTTTTTATTACGTTTTCTCCTTTACATCTTTAGTTTCCTGATTTTAAAAATGTTGGTTAAGGATAAGGGGGTCTTCTTGATCAAATGCCAAGTGGTAAATAGTCTTTTAGAACTAACACCACTTTCCCTTATTTGTTTAGTCTGAAATCTCCGGACTATTTCATTTTAAAGGACTAAATAGTTGACTTAATCCTCCCCAAATTTTTGAACCAACTACGTCAATATCTTATTTTAATAGATAAAGGATTATCAACTCAAACTAATACTCAATCCAAACATGGCCTTAGGTTAAATTTGATATACCTACCATGAGTTTTTCGGTATTCCGCACAAAACTATCATAACGTTAGAGAAACTTACCATGAACTTTTTTCACTAAACTAACATGCTTGACAGCATTTAAAAAAAGCTATCAGCAATGCTATAGAAAGCACTAGGCATTGGACCAGTGCTTGGTGCCTAGGCGAGACCCAGACGGATTTTTTTTTGTTTAAGTGGTGGTGGAGGAGATTATGATGAAGGTCAGAGGAGGTGAAGGAGGTGTTCGTAGTCGGTGGAGGAGGCTAAAGGATGTCAAAGGAGGTCGAAGGGCGAAGAGACGACAGACCTAAGCGGTGAAGTTCACAAAGCATCTTGTTCCCCTAGGCGCACCAAAGACCTAGGAGGCGGCCTAAGTACCACTTAGCTCCCGCGCCTAGAATGCTTTTTAAAACATTGGTTGTCATGTCAAATGTTTTGGATGATTTTGCCTTATGTACTTTATATATCTTCTATGTTACTCTCTACCCCCATCCTATTTTCAAGGATAATTCAGACGCAAACCTTTTATCCAGCTATAAATGTCGCAGGCAACAATTTCAATAGTTCATGCTACTTTTTGTAGTTTTCAAAGCTCATCATAATTTTCTCTTATAAAAAATGGGTTTTTATGATATAAGACCCCTCAAATCATCTCTATTTCTACATTAGAACCCCAAGGTATTTCTATATAAAAACCCGAATTCATTTAGGTTGTTCAAAAAAGACCCCTTTGGTAGATTTAACCCTAATTTGCTAAATTTGTCTATTGATGATAGAGATTTTTATTTTTGGACCATTACGCCCATACGCACATAAGATATAGCACATTTAAATCAATTTTGTTCTCCCTCCCTCTCCCATTTTTTCCCTTCAATGCACTTTTTTCTCCTCAAGATCCCTTTCTCAAACTCTCCCTCTCTCACAATCTGTGAAACTTGGGCTCTTAAAGCCTATTAAGACTTGAGATTTTAAAAGAAAATAGAGTTAGATCGGGGAAAAATAGAGAAGAGAGGCATAACAATAGATAAACAATGGAAAAAGGGAGATTGAACTTGGACTCATAAGGGTTATTTTTGTAACTTACTCCATATGGTTAAGAGCTAACCATTGATGAGGTAAAGAATTTGGATGAAAATCATTCATGGGGTCTTTTTCAATCTAACTTAAAGAATTTAGGAGCCTTAAAGAGAAATATCAAGGTTTGAGGGTCTGATATAGAAATACAGATGATTTGCGGGCTTGTATCGTAAAAACCCTTAAAAAGTTTTACAGTTGTTTTGGGCAAAATCCACCCAAATAAAAAAATTCAAACTTCAGAAAACCGCTTCAAAGTTTTGGCTTTTCCCAGATAATTCCCCTTTAACTTTTAAAATGCAATGAAACCCCCTTAAGTTTTAGGGTTCTCTAAAATCCCCTTTAACATTCAATGTTCCCTAAAAAAATCCCCAAAAGCGTGAAACACAATTATCACTTGCAAAAATGTCTGCCAGCATAATTTTACTCATACATGTGAATAATGTGGTTAACCCCGTAGGGTTTTATTTTAATAAAGATGTTAAAGGATAAAAAAGGGTTTTCTGAGAACGTCGAAAATTAAGCAGGGTTTTGTGGCAGTTTTAAAGTTAAGAGGGTTTATTCTAGAGAAACCCAAACTTAAAGAGGGTTTTCTAAAATTAAAATTAACTTGCAATTCAATTAGTGACAGATATTGAGAAAGATGTATTTGATAGTTTTATAAATGATACAATTATGTACTTTTCTCAACATATGAAAACTTGTTAGGCACAATTGTACCACTCTCCAAGAAATCCTAGATCGGCCACTGTCAATTATGCTTTAAAGTGGAGTATTTCCTATCCGGGACAAAGGTATGGGCATCACGATATACCAACCTAGGAAGAATTTACCGAATACATCAAAAGTATCATATTTTAATGTCTGAAATACAATAAATAAACACAAAAAAAGGATCATATACAACCTGCGTGTTAAAAAAATTGTTCCACCAATCACAAAATTGGACATGATGCGCTTGTAAAGAAAGCAGAAAAATAAAGGTTAAATAACGAATCATCAGGAATCTCTTATCAACAAGAAAATGAGATAAAAGAGAAAATAACAACAATCAACGTTTAAACCCCTAACTTTTCGCCGCGTTCACAAGCTTCTACGGATCAATTGCGAAACTCCTAGCTTCATGATTTGAGTAAGGATTCGGAATAAAATGTAAAAGAGAAACACTTTAATGCATAAAAGGGCAGTCTTTTTTGCAAAATTAGAAGGCAGTAAACTTATTTCCAGTATAAATACGAGGAGCAGCAAGAAGATTCATAGATGATCTTAAGAAAAAACGCATGGTTGGAAAAGAGGAGAACGCAAATTAGAGCTGATTCCGATCGAGATCGAGCTCTGAGGGACTAACCCTAGCGATTTGCGATGAATCGAAACCCTAAGATTGAGAGATGAGTGAGAGAGAGAGAGAGAGAGAGAAGCGTACCGGAATCAAATAGGCGAGCTCGCAACTGAAAGCAAGCGATGAGGGGGGAAAGAGAGAGAGAGTGTGTGTTTAGATCAAAAGTGACGAAGTTTTGGATCGAAGAGGAACTACGATTAACCCCCCGCCCTCTTTTCCTGATTTTTTTTTCTTTTTTCTTTTATCTGATTAGGGAATTTATACGGTGTATGTTAAAAGTAGAAATTATATTTTAAGTTATTTATTTGTTGAATTTTATGGGCGAGCTCGCGGGTCTTGAAGGTGATGGACGAGCTAATTGTTTTGTGGATTCCTTTTTCTTTGGCCTAATACTTAAATGCCCTATAGACTATAGTTTACCAAGATTACAGTAAATAACCTCTTTTTTTAACTGAATAAAAATAATGCCCTAATATATTTAAGTTTTAAAAATAAATATTCTAAAGTTTTAAAAATAGTGCACGATAATGCCCTATTATATACCCAATGTTGCATGTAAATATCCTAAACTTTATAAATGATGTCACTTGAATATCCTAAAGTTTTTAAAGGTTTTACTTTAGTACCTTCTATTATGTGATGTAGAGAAAAGATAATATTGTCTAGGTTTTTTTAACTACAGGACATTCATCTATAATACTTAAATACTTTGGGGTATTTTTTTTATTCGGTTTGAAACTATTGGGCATTTAAATGCATTAAGCCTTTTTTATCTCTTTTTTTATAGCTTTTTTTTTTTGTGGAAGAGCGTAATGATCTCTCAAGTCTTTGGGTCAGGCCAATTTGAACGAGGTGTAGTTCGGCCCATAGGCTTTAGCGGATGTGAAATATATCTGAAGTATTACGTCCAATTTCAAAGAGCTGTAGTTTGGCCCGTAGGCTTTAAAATACACCTGAAGTTTTACGGCCTTTCGTCATACTAGGAAAGTAACACTAAGCGTCTTATCTATTTCAATTCATTGCTGCGTATAATGTTGAATGGATGGCAATTGAAATGAAAATTTTTAATAATGGTGAAATTCTCACAAGTATTAAGAGAGAGCTGATTAGTGAAAGTCAAGCTGGGTTTATTTTTCAACTTCATGCCATAGCCTAGGTTCAACTACATACATAGCAATGCACGCTTACAAGATATATTGCTGAATAAATAAACATGTAAATAATATAAAGTGTAGTAGCAATTCTCTCCCTCTCTCTCCCTCTCTCTCTCTCACACACACAAAATGGCACTTCCTATGCATCTGAAACTTTAAACAGGCTATTAACAGGGATAACAGATTTGGGCTGGAGATCGATGAAAGGTCAGGCTGGGGCCCAAATAGTAGTAAGGAAAGATTAGGCTTGACTAACAATTTTTGAGCCTTACTAGTAGAAAACACAAGTTCGAACGTTGCTAGTAGAAACCAAAGGTCACTTCATTATTCTAGGGCTTACAATTGTAGTCCAAAACCTGAAAAAAATCGTATAAAATTATCCTAGACGAGAAGTGGGAATGGTCGCTTGTATAACAAAATTTTGGGCCAAGAGTCCAAACGTGGAACTTTGTTAAGTAAATCAATATCAATATTGTATGGTAAACTCTGTAATTCGTAAGGTATGGCACTCAGCTTCTAAGGCAACGACAATTTTTTTTTTAAATTTGGAAATGTATGAATTTTGAATCCAAGACTATGTGAAACCTGATATATTCTGATACTGTGTTGAGGACAACTTTATCCAAACGTCTAATATTTTAAATGATAGTTAAGAATTTCCCTTAAGCTAACATTGATGCTTAACATATGATAATCAGTTTTTAATACAATGACAAATCTATCTATCTATCTATACTTCTTATAAAAGAGAATACTCATGTCAGAACTTTTAATTTTCTTTTTTTACCTCACAATTTTTGATCATTCATAACCATTATTTATATTTAACTCTTATCTAATGATTCAGAACCTCTTATTAACTATGTATCTCTTCATTTTCCTAAAATATTTAGTCATTAACTAGAATATAGTAATTAAAAATTTATAAATATATTAAAAGTTATTTTTAAACAAAGTTAATTATAATAAAGAAATATTTAATATATTATTTTACATAATTATAATTATAATTATTAATAATAGTGTAAATAAAGACATATAATACTAAGAATTATTACCATTATTTAATAAACATTAGAATAAAATATCTATGTAAAATAATTATATAATAATATAAAATTGCAATAATGTTACTTAAACTAATTACATTATTAGTTAATAATTATAATCTTAAATAAATTGTTTAATAACATAATAATAAGCTAATTAATTCCATCAAGAAAAATTAATAAGAGAATTTAAATAACAATTAAATGAATTAATTAATAATAGTAAAATTATCAATAATAGTATAACTTAAATTTTTTTAATAGCAGTGAAATAAAATAACTTATAAAATATTTAAACATAATTTATTGTATAACATGATATTAAATACAAAAATAAATATGTCCACATGCAAAGCATGTATATTATATTTAGTATATAATAAATTTATAAGATTTGAACCTAGGACTTTCCCGTTATATGCTACAATACTGCTAAACCCCCTCTATCCCAAAGCTTAAATACTTTGAATTATGGACTAAGGATGTTGTATTGAACTGTCATTAATTCTTAATATATGTTAATCAGGTTCTAGTGCAAGACATTAACGAATGTGCAGCGTCGCATAAGTACGTAGAAGCAAATACACCTAACAAAGGTGCTCAATTCGTACATATTGCAGTCAAAATCTAAGAATTAGACATCTTACCAATTGAATAAGGCTGACTTTTCGCCCAAAGAATAATAAATCTCACTTCAAAACACAAAACACGAAAACATTTATCCTAACCTCAAGTCAAAAACACTTTAGGGTTGTTTTGCAAACTCCTCAAATTTAGGCTAAGCTTATCACGATCACAAGTTCTAGGTATATTTTTTTTGCCTAAGAAAAATAAGAAAAATTAGACTAGAATTGGTCCAGTTTGTGCTGAGTAAAAAAAAAATTCAAAACTAAATCAGGACGGAGTCCTGATCCTCTTGCCAAGCACGTCCTATATTTCCATTACTTTATAATTGTGTGCTGATGTGCTCTCCACCAAATCCAAATCAGCAATTACACGTGCGTAGATATCAAGTTCATTAGTTAAGCACAAGTAGGTAACTCTTCTTCGTGATTCACACAGAGAAGGTGATTGATATGAACTTAATCCGACCGACGAACGAATCCTAACATAATTTAAATCTAAGCTGTCGATGACATGAAGATTTAATTAAGATTAGAAGACAAAGGGGAGCAAAGGCCCATTTAAATCTAAGCTGTCGATGACATGAAGATTTAATTAAGATTAGAAGACAAAGGGGAGCAAAGGCCCATGGTTGCTTGTACAAGCCCAATTGGTCCGGCAACTTTGATTTATTATACCTCCGTCCCATTAGCTGACTATACTCAGAAATGTCAAAATTTTACAACAATTTTTGTCGATTTTTGTCGATTCAAACAAGTAAATGCTAACTGTTTTAGGATCTAATTGTCGCTTGATCCGACGACTCCTTTGCCTTTTTTTTTTGATTAAGTTAGTCTACTTTTATTTTCGAGAGAGAAGATTACGTCAAGGGACGCGATTAAACAGATTACCCTCTTCATTAATAGCATTTATCACCTTTGAACTCGTTCATATTATTTGTGTTTCCTCGTATCACGAGGAGGAGGATGATTATCTCAATTTGTTCTTTTTAAAATGTCAATTCTAGAAATGATAAATGCTTATAAATGAGTTAGGTGGTGATAAATGTTGCTGAAGATATAGAAGCGGTAGGTTACTATTGTGCGCAGCGGAACCTGAGGAACACACAACCGAACCCGAGATTAGAGAACAATAACAACAACCAAAACAAGTATCACAAATGCAACACAACAAATTTTACGTGGTTCGGTAAACTTGCCTACGTCCACGGGAGCAACACAAATAATTTCTTATTAATCACAAGAAATTACAAACAAGAGAAAAGATCTCAAACTTGAGATCTCTCAATCAAATAGCATGTGATTTTAATCTAAAATCACCGCTCAAACTCTCTCTCTTAATTACTCTAAAACTCCCTTCTTTAATTTCACCAACCACCTCCTCTTTAATTTTTGGGAACGGGACAAATGGGGCTCAAAATCGCGAAGAGAACAAAGGCCGCCGCCTCTGGGAAATTTCTCCGCTCTCTGCTCGTGCTTACTCCCAAGCTCGTGAATAGGGTTTCCCTTTTATAGGGAAACTCTAGGTCTTTATGCGAGCTCCACGCCAGCTAGCTCCATCTGGCTCCAACCAAATCAGGTGAGGTCCAAAGCCTCAAACCCGCAGGCGAGCTCGATGGCTTCAACAGGCGAGCCCCGCCCGCGGCGACATGCGAGCTTCCTCGCCTCACGCAGGTGAGCTCGATCCATCCACAGGCGACGTCGTCGAGCTTCGATCTCAGGTGCGTTTTTTTCTTCAATTCTCCACCTCGTCCATTATTTGATAAACCTTAAATTATGGATGAATACTAGAAGAACACCACGAACGCCAACCAAGCCAAAATAACAGCTGCACCAATATATCATGGCTGCCTACGTATACTCTAACCGAGATCAAGCTAATCGTAGTTCTGCCAATGGCCTCCAAAGGCCCTCAACAATGAAGAATGTTCAACAACAACTTCAAACAATGACCAAATTTCACCACATTGACAATTTTGGTCAACATATCTGCTAGATTGTCCTTTGGGTGGATATTCTCCAATCTAACATCTCCATCATCCAAGACGTCTTGAAAAAAATAGAATCTGACATCAATGTGCTTTGTCCGGGTATGATACACCTGGTTTTTTGTCAAATAGATAGCTGACATGCTATCACAATTTAACTTGATAGTCTCCTATGCAATCCCCAAGTCATCCAATAATCCCTGCAACCACAAAGCCTCCTTCATAGCTTCAGTCAACGCCATATACTCAGCCTTCGTAGCGGAGAGAGTCACTGTAGATTGAAGTATACATCTCCAACATACTGGTACTCTTGCTAATGTAAATACATATCCAGTAGTAGACCGATGCTTGTCAAGATCCCCTGCATAACCAGAATCCACATAACCACTACAATCTTACCCATTCTTCACATTCTTC